TCATCAGGGGTCCCTGGAGCTGAGGTCTCATGAGGCTTCAGGCGCCATAGCATAGGCGGCAGCTTCGGTCATGCCGGCCAGAATCAGTGACCCCAGATAAGGTTGGCAAGGTGATCCCAAAGAAAACAGTGACTCCAGCCTCAGTGCAGGGAGGCCAATGGCTGGGGACTGGGGGGAGCTCCTGGGGGGGGGGCCTGGAAAGAAAAAGCGAAAAAGATGGAGGTCAGACAGAACACAGCTTATGCCACTTCAAATAGGAATTTCCCAAATCAGGGGGAGGGGGCATGCGGGGGGAGGGGGTAAAATCCACATTTTAAAAGAGTGGATTTTACTGTATATCAATTATACCTGAATAAACCTGACTTATCAAGAACTACATGATGATCTCCACTTCCACCTAAAATAAAATCCCCTATGTGGTCCCACCTGGCCCACGTGATCCCCCCAAATTGATCATTCTTATTATTCACACTTGTCGAAGTAACAGATGTGTTTTCTAGGCTTTTTCTGCAATTATCTTATAGATGAGGGCCCATTGAAAGGAGCAGTTCCCAGGAGAAAGCAGTGTATCATTATGAGCTCTTCCCCACTTTTACCCAGAGTAATGATTTAGAATTAATTGCCTACTTTTCTTTCTCTCATCTGCGATGAATATTTCATTGCCAAAGTAAATGAGAATTTTTTTTTTCCTGAGGCAGAGTCTTGCTCTGTCACCCAGGCTGGAGTGCAGCGGCATGATTTGGGCTCACTGGAACTTCCACCTCCCGAGTTCAAGTGATTCTCCTGTCTCAGCCTCTCACAGAGCTGGGATTACAGGCGCCCACGACCATGCCTGGCTAATTTTTTTCTATTTTTAGTAGTGACGGGGGTTTCGCTATGTTGGCCAGGCTAGTCTCGAACTCCTGACCTCAGCTGATCCACCCGACTCAGCCTCCCAAAATGCTGGGATTACAGGTGTGAGCCACTGCACCCGGCCAGTAAATGAGAATTTTTTTTTAAGGGAGAGCACAGCCTATCTCGACTTAGAACACTTCTGTTTATTTTACTGGAAAGCCATGGTTGGATCCTCTGAAGCGAGAACACTCTGGCTGTCATCCCTGGAAGTACTGACAACAGACCACAGAAAACAAATTCATGCTCAGCCCAGACGTGTGGCTGCAGTCACTCTTCTTGGTGGAGAGAAGTGCTTCTCAGAAAGAGCAGGAAAAGCACCTGCAGGCAGTGCTGCTGCAGATCCCCGTCCAGGTACTCTATTTTTAATTTTTATTTTATTTATGTATTTCAGACAGCGTCTCACTCTGCTGCCTAGCCTGGAGTGCGCTGGTGCCATCTTGGTTCACTGCAACCTCCACCTTCCAGGTTCAAGCAATTCTGCCTCAGCCTCCCAACTAGCTGGGATTACAGGTGCCCACCACCATGCCCGGTTAATTTTTGTCTTAGTAGAGACAGGTCTTTGCCATGCTGGCCAGGCTGGCTTCGAACTTCCGACCTCAAGTGATCCACCTGCCTCAGCCTCCCAACATTTACAGGCACCCAGCCCCCATCCAGGTACTCTAAACAGCTGAATAAAATCCAGGACCACCCTATATGTGGATGCTCTAATTAGCTATCAGACCAGGTGCACAAAATCACAGCCCAACACGTTGTTTATTCTGCCAATAGCTAGGGGTAGAATAAAGGCAACAAAGAGCTACTAGCCAGGAGCAGTGGCTCACCTGTAATCCCCGCACTTTGGGAAGCCAAAGCAGGAGGATCACTTGAGGCCAGGAGTTCAAAACCAGCCTGGGCAAAATAGTGAGCCCACTCCCCTCCCCTGCACCCCATCTCTAAAGAAAAACTTAGCTGGGCATGGTGACACACAACTGTATTCCCAGCTAATCTGGAAGCTGAAGCAAGAGGATCCCTTGAGCCCAGGACTTCGAAGTTAGTGACCTGTGATCTTATCTCTGCACTCCAGCCTGGGCGACAGAGTGAGACTCTGTTTTAAAAAGCAAAAGAGCTACTGACTCAGAAAAGCTGATAATCACAATGAGCTTTCAGAGGCTTTTCCAGAGGACTGTTTTGTCATTTTTTATCTTCTTTGCTACCATATATCATTGCATCCAGAATACCATAGATTGTGTAAGGCAGGAAAATAAGTTTCAAAGTAAACTATGCCACCATACTTTCTTATTTCTTAGGAGTTGCCTGTATATTTCTTGAAGCTTATTCAGAGAGATTTTTATCCTGTATCACCTTTGGTCACATTAAAATACAGATGCAAAGAAAATGAATTGGTTAGGGTGTTCCTTAAATTTGTTCTATCCAACTTTTCTGAATCACATTTCAATTCAAAGTCATCAAATTTCATATTTTATCAGACTTTCTTGTCTTCTAGGGTCAAGGGTTGGCAATCTTTTTCTGCAAACAGTAAATAATTCAGGCTGTGCCAGGCCACGTACCCTCTGTGACAAACACTCAACTCCGCCACCGTGAGGCAAAGCCAGCCATACACAATACTGAAATAAATGGGCACGGGAGTGTTCCAAAAACAATCTTGATGGACACAGAAATTTGAATTTCATGTAGTTGTCACATGCCATGAACTGTTATTCTTTTAACGATCTTCAGCTATTTGAAAATGTAAAACACCATTCTTACTCACAGACTATACAAAACAGTCGGCAGAATTTAACTTGTGGACTGTGGTTTGCCAGCTCCGGCTACATGCCACTGGGAGCAGTGGTAACACAGTGTATCTTTCTTTTTTTCTGTTTCCTTAAATGGAGTCTCACTCTGTTGCCCAGGGTGGAGGGCAGTGGCACCATCTAGGCTCACTGCAACTTCTGCCTCCTGAGTTCAAGCGATTCTCCTGCCTCAGCCTCCTGAGTAGCTGGGATTATAGGTGCCCACCACCACGCCCAGCTAATTTTTGTACTTTTATTAGAGACAGGGTTTCGCCATGTTGGCCAGGCTGGTTCTGGACTCCTGATCTCAGGTGATCCTCCCACCTTGGCCTCCCAAAGCGCTGGGATCACAGGCATGAGCCACTGCGCCTGGCCCAGTGTATCTTTTAAAAAGATAGTACTGTGTTCTCCAGGATTCTCTTTAAACCACTGACAGCTGTTTCTCAAATTTGGTTGTAAGAGAATATTCATCAGGGTAGAGTTGGTTATGCTGCATTAGCAACCCCAGAATCTCAGTGGCGTAAAACAAAGGTTTATTTCTAATTCAGACAAGGTCCTGGGTGGGTGAGGGCTACTTTCTAGGGCAGCTGCCCCACGTAACAGCTCAGCTTTAGTCCTCCATGTGAACACATGCACTCGCAATATTGACAGGAGACAAGAATGTGGAAAATGACACACCAGCTCTTACAGGCTTTCCTTCAAAAGTGACAGGTGTCACTTCCCATTTGCAAAACCAGTCACATGGGCCAGTAGTTTAAAAATATATCTACCCACCTTCAAAAAGGTAGAGACAAATTCCCCTTCCCTTGCAGGTGGGCCAGACCTAGTGCCTCATTACCAATAAATGGACTATGGCAGACATTGAGATATGTGACCTGAGAGGCCAAGTGCAAAAATGATGCCTTCAACTGGTGTGATCCCACTTCCAGATGGTGCATTCTGGTGAAGGCCAGCCATTGTGTCACAGGGACACTTGAGCAGCCCCTTTGAGAGTTCTGTTTCTGAAGAGAAACCCATGAGGAGTGGCCCTCTGAGAGCTCAGTATGAAGAGAAACCCATGAGGAGTGGAACCAGTTGGCCAGTACCAGCTCACTGGCTGTGTGAGGCCCTCAGAGTGGATCCTCCAGCCTCCATCAAGCCTCCAGCTGGTCCCAGCCCCTCAGCCTTCAAGTCTTCCAGATGAGACACCTCCCATATGTCTATTTTCAAACAAAAACCCAGACTCACATTCCCTCCTCTAATGGTTTGTAAATGGCTGTTGACTAAAACATCAAGGGATTGCTCTCGCTCTAAGACAGTCCCGGGAATAATGTCTGAGGTCACAGATGTGCCCGCAATGGCACAGAAGCTAGACAGCAAATTTTGGTCTGGTTGAAACACACATCTAGATTTTACATTTCACATTAACATGTGAAAAGGATGAGCACCTGGGGGTCCATGGAAATAATATATCACTGTTTTCTCAAGCACATGCTCTTTTATTTTTGCCTGTGTTGTGGTTATTTGCCTTTAACTAGGAGATCTACAGTGGCAGATTTGAGATAAAGGGAGCACATGGGCAGAAAAAGTCCTCATATCCAAAGCAAAGCAAATGATTGAGAGAGATTTCTGAATTTTAAAAAATTGTTAGTGCTACAGAAACTGTAAGTATCATAATTAAAACTAAGGTACTCTGACTTTAACTCATGGAGCTATTCTAGATTCAATTGGCCAAGAATGGTCCTATGATTGTATATATGGAGAGGAATATAAATTTCTCTACACACATACATATGCGTATACACATAGTATCTATAGTATACTTACCTTTAGGTAACAGGTATACCTGTATCTCATAAGTAGAAATAAAATGTCCTTTCAAATGAGCCACTAACAGATTCTTAATGATGAATAGTGGTCTTGTTTGTAGTTAACTGGTGACCTTTATACTGAAATAGCAAGACATACTAGAATACAAGGAAGAAACAGCTTGATTCTTTTTCCTGGGGCCCATTCAAACCCCATTTTCGAATCCAATCTTTATCTCTCTAGGATGAAATCTAGATAAGATCCCATAGTTTTGTCTAGTCTAGTCACTTTAAAAAAACATGTGGGAAAACCACAACATAAAATGCAGCATCTTAAGCATTTTTAGGTGTATAGCTCAGTAGTATTAAGAGCGTTTACATGACTATGAAACAATCTCCACGGCTTTTTCATCTTGAGAACTGAAACTCTGTGCCCATGAAATAACTCTTCATTCTCCCTCCTCTCGCCGGCCCCTGGAGGTTGCCACTTTATGTTCCATTTCTATGAATGTGACTACTTTAGACACCTCTGATAAATGGAATCATATAGTATTTGTCTTTAGTGACTGTTTTATTTCACTTAGCGTTATTGTCCTCAGAGCTCATCCATCTTGTAGCTTAGGACATAATTTCCTTCCTTTTTAAGGTTAAACTACATTCTGGTTTTTTTAAGGTTAAACAATATTCCATTGTGTGGATAGATATGGATTTACATACTGCAATATTATATATATCTTATTACATATATTACATGTCATATTACAATATTGATATGTATCTTATCACAATAAGATTATATTATGTATGTATTATAATTCTGTTATATAATATATATCAATATTACATATTACATATATAAGATATATATCAATATTCTATTGTGTATATATATATTCTATTGTGTATATATACCAATATTCCATTGTGTGTATATATATACACACATAATTTATAATTTATATATACTATATTCTATATCTTATACCATATCTTAAAATGTAATAAGATCAGGATATTTACCAATAATTAGTTCCTTCTTTAAGCCATTGGGAAATTATATATATATATATATATAATTGTATATATAAATTATGTGTGTGTATATATACACACACACACACACACACACACACACACCCCATATATATACACAATGGAATATTGCTTAACCTTTAAAAGGAAGGAAATATATATCCCACTTACCAATAATTAGTTCCTTCTTTAAGCCATTGGAACATTTTATATATATATATATATATACACATATATACACACACATATATATACACACATATATACATAGCTGCTATATGTGTGTATATATGTATAGATATGCAACTGCATATATCTATTCATCCATGAGGCATGATGGACATTTGGGTTGCTTCCACCTCTTGGCTATTGCGAATGATGCTACAGTGACATGCAAGTCTCTCTTCAAGATCTGCTTTCAATTCTTTCTGGATATATACCTAGAAATGGGATTGCTGAATCATATGGTAATTTTCTTTTATTTTTTGAGGAACCTTCATACTGCGTAGTGGTCACACTATTTACAACTGCACCAGCAATGCACCAGTATTCCAATTTCTCCACATCCTCAGCAGCACTGGTTATTTTCTGTGGGTTTTTTAATGGTAGCTGTCATAACAGATGTAAGGAGATAACTCATTATGGTTTTGAATTGAATTTTGCCTCGTTATTCTTAAATAATAAAAAGTCCTGCCCGAGTGCAGTGGCTCATGCCTGTAATCCCAGCACTTTGGGAGGCTGAGGCAGGCAGATCACGAGGTCAGGAGTAGTTTGAGACCAACCTGACCAACATGGTGAAACCCCATCTTTACTAAAAATACAAAAATTAGCCAGCTGTGGTGATGCACACCTGTAATCCCAGCCACTCAGGAGGCCGAGGCAGGAAAATTGCTTGAACCCAGGAGGCAGAGATTTCAGCAAGCCGAGATTGCGCCACTGCACTTCAGCCTGGCCGACAGAGCAAGACTCTGTCTCAAAAAAAGAAAAAAAGTGTTCTTTGGTCATTATCAGCTCCAAAGAACAATCTCATTTTAGTAAACATAATAGGCAGAATAACATCCTCCACTCCCACAAAGCTTATGGCTATGCTATGTGGCTATGTTGTGCTGCATTGCGAGAAGGAATCAAGGTTGCAGATGGAATTAAGGTTTCCTATCAGCTTTCCCTACCCCTAGGTTGCCCGTGACTACTCCAGGGTTGGAATAGAGCTTGGAAGAAGATGAAAGGGCAGGAAAGGCCATCCTTAACATAGGCAGCTGTAATATGATAACTGCATCTACTGGGGAGGGCAGATTCCTAGTGGCGATTCTTTCTTTTCTATAGCACTTAGTGGGGTCCTCAGTCTAAGTTATCCCCTCTGGACTCTTGGGAAATCCTTGTCTTTAGCCAGGTGCTTCTCACTCCATTTTCATCCTCTGCTGCCAGTAGTAACCCCCAGCCTCTTTCTGCTGAGGCCCCTCTCCTTTGGCATGAAGCCCTTTGGACAGGTCCCTTCCAACAACCCAAAGCCAGACCCTACCTGTAAGTCTTACTGGCTCAAAAGAACACTCTGGCATCCTCTCCTTACCCTGACCCATGTGCAGCTTTCTCTCCACTGCATATCCGTGTCTTTGGCCATCAGGCAGGTACTTCCACAAACATGGACTTTGACTTTCTCGGAGGAATATAAAAAGCTTAAAATCCTTAAGCATGGCTGATTTTGCCGTCTTGTACTTGACTAAACAATGGCCTGAATCCATTCAACATTTTCTTAGGATGAGTGTTATGAACTACTACTTTTCTATGCTTGCTTTTAAGATTTTTGCCTGTTTATTCTTAAATTAGTCCATATGTATTTATATAGCATATCTCCATAGAAGCCAGAAATAGTTTCATGCAGAAGTAATGTGGTTGCAGTTACGGTAAATAAAATATTCATAAGAACCTGGAAATTTTGAGATAATTCACATTTTATCCTTAAAGCAATTTATTCTTAGAGCTTTATGAAAGCTATATCTTCTCTGAACATTTGCCCAAACCTCCCACCATTTCTGACTTTTTTTTTTTTTTTTTTTTTTGAGATGGAGTTTCACTCTTGTTGCCCAGGCTGGAGTGGAGTGCAATGGCGCTACCTCGGCTCACCACAACTTCCGCCTACCAGGTTGAAGTGATTGTCCTGCCTCAGCCTCCTGAGTAGGGGGGATTACAGGCATGTACCACCACGCCCGGCTAATTTTGTATTTTTAGTAGAGATGAGGTTTCTTCATGTTGGTCAGGCTGGTCTGGAACTCCTGAGGCACCACGCCTGGCTATACCCTTTCTGATTTTAAACTCAATATCATTGCACCATTTCAATATGAGCAAAGAACATCTTACAAGAACTCTCCACGATTGCAAGTAATTTGCCTACCACTTCCTCTCTTCCCTTTCCTTTTGTATCTTGCCCAAGTTTAAGTTTCCTGGGGGGTGCAAAGGATTTTCACATCATGAAATTAATTATTGCTGATATCATGAACACTCTCATTTGTGACATAAATTATTAATCTAAATACCAGTTTAAACAACTTTCCTATCTAAATCTAGGATATCAAAACCAAAATTATCTTACAAATGATAAGTTCTCAATAGTTTGCCTTTTGTAGGTCATCTCTTAAGGAAACAAAAAACTGTTAACATTGGTTGATTCTTAGAGAAGAGTGGGGGACCTGGGAAAATGGGGAGGAAAAAGATTTTTTTTAACCAAATATCATTTGGATCTTTTGAATTTTACACCATTTAGATTCCCAAATCAAAGTTTTTTTAATTTTAAAAATGATAATTTGTATTTGAAAGTATAAAACTACCACTTAGCATTTAATGTTGCAAGCAGAAGTCACCTTTGAGATCAGAAAATAGAGTTTTAATCGTTTTTTAAGTTTTAAGGATAAATTAAATGACTTATATTAGATCTAGGACTTATATATAAGTTCAACTTGCTAATTTTTTTTTTTTTACTTTTTCTTTTACTTTCTGAGGAACAAAGATATTGTTTGCTCATAGATGGCTTAATAGTGCAACAGTTCCCTAGCAAGCAGACTCAGAAAAATAAACGTTAACAAAAATAAAGAGACAGCTTGGCTTTTGTGGGGAGGGGGTTTGTAGAAAGTTGTGTCTTACTTGTTGATGAGTCTGTTTCTTAATCTGAGGGCCTGCAGATTAAGTTATGTGGCTATGTTGTGCTGCATTACAAGAAGGAATTAGGAATTAAGGTTGCAGTTGGAATTAAGGTTTCTTATCAGCTTTTCCTGCCCCTTCTTCACATGCTGGCAGAAGACAGAGAGCAAAGAGGGAAGTACCACACACCTTCAAACAACCAGATCTCATGAGAATCCACTCAGTGTCACGAGAACAGCCAGGTGGACATGTGCCTCCAGTGATCCCATCACCTCCCACCAAGTTCCTCCCCCAACATTGGGGACTGCAATGCAACATGAGATTTGGGTGAGGACACAGAGCCAAATCATATCATTCCACCCCTGGATTCTCCCCAATCTCATGTCTTCCTCACATTTCAAAACACCATCATGCCTTCCTAACAGTCCCCTGAAGTCTCAACTCATCCCATCATTAACTCAAGAGTCCATGTCCAAAGTTTTATCTGAGACAAGTCCCTTCTATCTATGATCCTGTAAAATCAAAAATAAGTTAGTTACTTCCAAGATACAATGGCAGTACAGGCATTGGGTAAATGCTTCTATTCTAAAAGGGAGAAATTGGCCAAAACAAAGGGGCTACAGGTCTCATGCAAGTCCAAAACCCAGCAGGGCAGTCATTAAATCTTCATGTCTCACATCCAGGTCACAATGATGCAAGGGGTGGGCTCCCAAGGCCTTAGGAAGCTCTAACCCTGTTGCTCTGCAGGGTACAGCCCCCTCAGCTGCTTTCACAGGCTGACATTGAGTGCCTGTGGCTTTTCCAGGTACACAGTGCAAGCTGTCGGTGGATCTCCCATTCTGAAGTCTGAAGGATGGTGGCCCTCTTTTCACAGCTCCACTAGGCAGTGCCCCAGCGGGGACTCTGTGTGGGGGTTCCAATTCCACATTTCCCCACTGCACTGCCCTAGTAGAGGTTCTCTATGAGGGCTCTGCCCCTGCAGCAGACTTCTGTCTGGACATCCAGGCGGATGAAATCTAGGTGGAGGTTCCCAAACCTCAGCTCCTGACTTTGGCACACCTACAGGCCCAACACCACATGGAAGGCACCAAGACCTGGAGATTGCATCCTCTGAAGCCATGGCCCAAGCTGTACCTTGACCCCGTTTAGGCATGGCTAGAGCTGAAGCAGCTGGGATACAGGGCATCATGTCCCAAGGCTGCACAGAGCAGCATGGCCCTGGGCCTGGCCCACGAAATCATTTTTCCCTTGTAGGCCTCCAGGGCTGCAATGGAAGGGGCTGCTTCAAAGGTCTCTGAAATGCCCTGGAGGCCTTTTTCCCATTGTCTTGGCTATTAACATTTGGTTCTTCTTTACTTGTGCAAATTTCTGCAGCCTGGAATTCCTCCCCAGAGATAGAGTTTTTCTTTCTTACCACAGGGTTGGGCTACAAATTTCCCAAACTTTTATACTCTGCTTCCCTCTTAAATATGAGTTCAAATTTCAGACCATGCCTTTCTTCACATACACAAGTGTACACTTTTAGAAATAACCAGGTCACATCTTGAACACTTTATTGCTTAAAAATTTCTTCCACCAGATGCCCTAAATCATCTTTCTTAAGTTCAAAGTTCCACAGACCTTTAGAGCAGGGGCACAATGCCACGAGTATCTTTGCTAAAGCATAGCAAGAATGACCTTTACTCCAGTTCCCAATAAGTTCTTCATCTCCATCTTAGACCACCTCAGCCTGGACTTCACTGTCCATATCACTGTCAGCATTTTGGTTACAACCATTCAACAAGTCCCCAGGACATTCCAAACTTTCCCTCATCTTCCTGTTTTCTGAGCCCTCCAAACTGTTCCAATCTCTGCCTGTTGCCCAGTTCCAAAGTTGCTTCCATATTTTCTGGTATCTTTATAGCAAGGCCCTACTTTCCTGGTACTAACTTTCTGTGTTAGTCCATTCTCACACTGCTATAAAGAACTGCCTAAGACTGGGTAATTTGTAAAAGAAAGAGGTTTAATTGACTCACAGTTCAGCATGAACTGTGAAGCCTCAAGCAACTTACACTCCTGGCAGAAGGGTGAAGGGGAAAGGAACCTTCTTTACATGGTGGCAGAAGAGACAAAGTATGAAGGAGGAAGTGCCATACACTTTCAAAAACAACCAGATCTCGTGAGAAATCACTCACTATCACAAGAACAGCAAGGAGGAAATACACCCCCATGATTCAATCACCTCCCACCAGGTCCCTCCCAAAACACTGGGAATTACAATTCAACATGAGATTTGGATGGGGACACAGAGCCAAACCATATCACTAGGCATACCTATGTGACTAAATGTTGACCAGTTTGGTATAAGAAAAAGTATTTTGTGTAACTTCTAGGAAGTATCTACGGAAGAAAGGTGCTGACCCTTCTTTGCTCCTTCCACTGTTGATTGGAGTGTGGATGTGATGATAGGTGCACTAACAGCCATCTTGAGTCATGAGGTGGCACAGTAATCATGGCACAACAGAAGAGAATGACAGCGGAGCTGCCACATAGGCCTGGATTATGTACCTCTATGTTTATTTTACATAAGAAAAAAAATGGGTGGGCATTGTTGCTCACACCTGTAATTCCAACATTTTAGGAGGCTGAGGTGGGAGGATCACTTTGGCCCAAGAGTTTGAAACCAGCCTGGGCAACATAGTGAGACCCTGTTCCTACAAAAAAAAAAAATAGTATTTTTTAATTAGCCAGGTATGGTGGTATGTGCCTATAAACCCAGGTACTTGGGGGTGCTGAGTCTGGAGGATCACTTAAGGCCAGGAGGTTTGAGGCTGCAGTGAGCTGTGATTGCACCACTGCACCCAGGCCTAGGTGACAGAGCCAGACCCTGTCTTAAAGAAAAAGACAGGCCGGGCGCGGTGGCTCAAGCCTGTAATCCCAGCACTTTGGGAGGCCGAGGTGGGTGGATCACGAGGTCAAGAGATCAAGACCATCCTGGTCAACACGGTGAAACCCTGCCTCTACTAAAAATACAAAAACTTAGCTGGGCATGGTGGCGCATGCCTGTAATCCCAGCTACTCGGGAGGCTGAGGCAGGAGAATTGCCTGAACCCAGGAGGCAGAGGTTGCGGTGAGCTGAGATCGCGCCATTGCACTCCAGCCTGGGTAACAAGAGCGAAACTCCGTCTAAAAAAAAAAAAAGAAAAAGACAAAAAAAATCTATCTCTAACTTTTTGAAGCCACTGTTATTTTGTTGCTGTATTTTTATTATATGCCGCTGAATCTACCCTTAATTAATATAATGGAAACAGCCAAACTTCTTCCCTTCACATTAACCATGGACCATTTCTCAGTTTCTAAGAACAAGTATATTCCCAAGATCTGCCTAACTGCTCAAACACAGTAGAGCACGCTGCTAATAACACTGGCCTGGGGGGTGTTGAACAATCAGAACACATGGACACAGGGAGGGGAGCATCACACTGCAGTCAGTAGTGGGGGTTAGGGGAGGGACAGTGGGGGTGGGGAGGGTGGGGAGGGATAATGAGGGACGAAATACCAGATACAGGCGATGGGGGGGTGAAGGCAGCAAACCACCGTGCCAGTTATGTACCTATGCAACAATCCTGCATAATCTGCACACGCACCCCAGAACCTAAATTACAATTAAAAAAAAAAAAACACTGGCCTGGGTTTCAAATTAAAGATATTAAAAAGATTTCACTGAGGCCAATACTGTGTACATAGTAGTCAAGTTTGTAATCCAAACAAATAACTTTGACTTACTGATATTGCTTTCAAAATCAAACGAAGGCACCAAATTTAGTTTGAGTGAAAGACAAGCCCTCAGCCTTAGCTGATGAGACCATCAGGACTAGAGTTATTGATTCAATGGCTGAGCTTTTTCTAAACTGGCCCTCGGCTGTTCACAGTGTAACCACGCCACAGCTGTGACGGGGATGTGACAGCACATCCAGTGGTGTAATCTGCTTTGAAGCTCTATTCCAGAGCCCATAGATCAGAGGGCTAAAACACTGGGCAAATGCAAAAGCACCAAAACCCACCAGATTTCAAGCAAAGGAAAACACCCTGCACACCTTCCCCAAACCTATGAATCTCAGAGTCGGTATGATATGTAAGCTTATCTGCACTAAATGAATAAGGACTGTTTTCCCTGCTTTGATAACTGGCCTATTAAAATAGCCAGCCCATTTCCCATTGTGGTATATCAGAGAGTAGCTTCTAAGAATGACAGACAAAAGAAGGAAAATAAAACTCATGCCAGTGGCCCTGGCGGGAGTGTCATTCAAGGTCACAGGGCAAAGGGGTTCCGATTTTAAAACTGCAGCCACCGTGGGTTTAGTGCCCTCTATGACGAACAAGCAAACACTCTTGAGTATAATGGTTGTCCAAGTCCCAGCCAGAATCCTATACTCAACTGCATCTACAAAGGATAGAGATTTCAGTGGACGGCGAATCGCCACCTAAGTATTGAGGGCCATCAAGGCTACGGTGAAGAGAATCCCTTCTCCAACACTCAGCTGGGCTCCAACACCATCCAGCATATCAGCAGGGGGCTGCTGGCCAGAAGCGCCCACATTCCTTGGAAAACCATCCCCAGGCCACAGTAGAAAGAGATGCACAGCAGACGCGGGCAAAGGAGGATGTATCAGGCCTCTGTCCACGGCTTTGAATTCTGTGACGCTGTTGTCATAATGATGACAGTGATGGCTGTGGCAAAAGAGAAGGTGACCACATGGAGGCCCTCACGGTTGCTTCTCACCTCAGTCAATCTGATGCGTTGCAGTGCTCAGAGACAGGTTCATGATCTCAGGAATAGCTTGGCTCCTGGAGGAGAGAACAAGATAGAATGAATCTGTGTTAAAGCTTCCTGTGGGTTTCCCAGGTCTCTGGTCTTGTGCGCGGTCTCAAGGAACAGATTGTGCATTCTTCAGTATAGCAGATGACAATTTTTAATACTATCAATAGAGATCAAAGAAACAGGAGAAATCATCCTGGCCATTCTTTATATTAGTATTTCAGGGGAGGGACATATACACAAATTATCCATACACACAAAAGGTTTGAAAGATATACTCTTTGTACTAAGCAAATTGCTCAAATTCATGTCAAGGTTTTACCGCTTATGCGTCCTTTTCTATCTTTGATTGTGAGAGCTTTTTCAATTCAGAGCACAAAGCATAATGTTATCAAGCCAAATGATTAGTCACCAATTGCATTTAGTACATGCAACGGCCTAGGGAGGGAGTTAGGTCAAGAGCTGTGAGGAATGCGGGGAAGTCATTGACTTAGAGCTTTGAATTCATCTAGGTCCACAGGACGTGAAAGAGAAATTAACAATAATGATAGTAATCATGGGTGACATTTACTGAGTACTTTCTAGGAATCATAAACTGTTTTCAGAGCATATTTCTCACTATACCTGGGTGTTTTATTTCCCAAGGAGTGGTTTTATTATGCACTTTTCACAAGTGGAGAAATGAAGACTTAGAGAGGTGAAATCACCTGCTCAGGGCCGTATGGTTATTGCATAGTGGGCCAGGATTTGAATTTGGTAGCACAGCTCCGGAGCCGATACCCTCAGCCGCTGCAAGGAAGCTAACGTCAAATGCAAGGCCAAAGAAATGCATTCTCAGAGTTCTCCCTGGGCCAGTGCCATCTGACCAGGCAACTGGACTTCATTTGTAGGAATATCATTTTTGTGCTTAAGAAGCTAGAAGACTCCATGTCTAGGAAGATACTGGGATCTCAGGGTTGCTGAGGGAATGTGAGCACCAAAATGACAAGCTGTGCTTGGTAACCTCATGAAGTGAAGTGTGCACAGGAGTGCCACTGTGTGGCAGCCTGGGGGAACCCCCAGATTACAGCATCGTTGTTGCCATGATAGTCTATGATGCAGATACCACTATTGCCTCCCCCCACCACCTACACCCCATCCAAAGTGATATACCCTGTGAGCCTCTGCTGCCCTGCTCCTTCCTCCTGGACTACAGCAACTCCTTCTCCCCCAGCAAAGTTGATTGGCATCTGACTCACAGCAAACTATTCACTAGACTGTACTGAGTCAGACTATGTCTCTCAAAAACCCAACCCGAGGGACACAAAGAATATAGTCCGAGAGTAACGTCATGCAGTTAGCCTGCCAGTCATGTTGTTAGCAGAAGAAAAAGACAGAAGTAAGAGAGAAGCAGAAAGAAGTGAGACCATGAGGCCCCTAAGTGTCCGCAAACGCCCTTGCAAGAAGACAAAGAAAACGACCTTTGCTCCCAAATTTCCAGTTCCACTGAGATGGCCTGCAATTTCTGTCCTTGGATTCTGAAAATATAATGCACCCCTCTATTATTTGAGCTATCTTAAATGGGTTTGTACTCCTTCACTCTGTCCCGTAGACTTCAAAGTATATAAAATGGGCCCTGAAGAGGCACAATAAATTATATTGATTTCCTAAAGGGCATATCACAATGGAGATACAACTATTTTACCTTCCCGAGAATCTGAAATGCTGTAAATCCTTGTGAAATTCCTCGCTGAAGGCGTAATTTTCCCCCCTGCCCGGGCATTGTGTTGCCCCCTTTCTGAGAACTTTCTTTTTTCTGATGGATTTTTGGTGCCATTGTCATGTTTTTGAACTGCAGGCATTTATTTTCTCTTCTCCCAGCTCTTCAGAGAGGAACGGAAACTGCCATGGTCATGGTCCTTGTCAAAGTCATCATCTTTGAGCTGCAGATGCCTTTTAAGGTCAGACTTTTTGATCAAGATCTAACACAAACACCTCTCAATATCAAGCAGGAAAATGCATATTTGCTCTCATTAAATCCTTCTCCCTTAATCGCTCACTCTCAGAGCACACCCCAAAATGGTCCTCAGGGCGCCGCCACAGACACTGAGAGCCCCAGTGAAGACTGTATGAAAATCTTGGTAAATTAGAACAAACACTCTGCCCTTGGTATACAGGGATCACATGAATGCAGCTCTGAGCCTGGATCCGCTGCTAACAAGGACTGTGACTTTGGATATTGAAGTCACTTTGCTTCTGTGGTCCTTGGAGTTGTGCAGCATCACCAGGCTCCACATCCTTCCTCTCTGGTCATCCTCACTCACAACCTCAGAGCCAACTCTGAACTTGGGCCCAGAGCATCTGTGCTTTTACTTTATTCCTGAGAACAAGATCACTCCTGCCCTAACCCCAAAACACCCTCATGATATTTCTCTGAGCCTGAGCCTTTTCTTGCTGATCTGAATAGACGCCTTGGCTCTCTAGGACAGAGCCTGCCTTGTTCTGCGAGGTCCCCTCCAAGGAACTGACCCCCAGACACAGGGAGGTGGCTGGTGGCAGAGTCCACAATAGTGATGGCTCCATGTCTGCTGGGGCCTCTTAACAACACACAATCCTGGGCTCACTGTCGCCAGGGTTGGCCCAGTGGATGGGTGATATTCCCCATTACTTGGTCTTGCTTCTCACCCCCATTCTGCCCAGAATCCCAGTCATCTTCTGTAGCATCCCTGGTGGATTTTTCATTTCTGCTCAGAAAGACTCCCTGCACCTGTATGGGGACTCACCACACGCCCCCCACACACCTGCCCATTCCATTTCTCAAGGCCACGGATTGGGCTTTGCCTAGCTGTGTTCCAAGACCCAAAACCCTCCATAGAGCATGCAATGGCTGTCATTGTGTTTCTGTACAATAACATTTTTAAAGCTTTTCCTTTTCCCCCTTGAATTACTACTGCTGCTGAAATTATAATAAAGGCTAAGCCCCCGAAACCTTCCCTCTGGATCTGAAATGGTTTCAGGGAACTATTGTTGGGACCAGCAGAAACCGGTTTCTTTAGTTTTCTAATGTGCTTAACACATCAACATGGCACACTGGTTCATCATTGTACTTACCCAACCTTTACTGGGTATTGAAACATACAACGCATAATCCTAAGCAGTGAGGTTACAATGCAGTAAAACAGTCACTGAGGTCGAGTACCATGACTCACACCTGTAATCCCAGGACTTCAGGAGGCCAAAGCAGGCAGATCACTTGAGCCCAGGAGTTTGAGACCAGCCTGAGAAACATTGCAAAACCCTGTCTCTATAAAAAATAGAAAAATTAGCCACCTGTAGTCTGCAGTCCCAGCTACTCAGGGGGCTGAGGCAGGAAGATCACCTGAGCCTAGGGAAGTTGAGGCTGCAATGAGCCACGATTGTATCACTGCACCCCAGCCTGGGCAACAGAGACAGAGTGAGACCCTGCCTTGAAAAAAAAAAAAAAAGTTGCTGACATACAGAAACTTACTGTCCAATGGAAGCTGCAGAATATGATATAGTTAGACAACCAAAAACATCATGTATAGTTTTACCCACTTCCCAAAAGAATAAGAAAGCCAGGTGTGCTATGGGAGTTGTTCAGAAATAAAAGGAATCAGATCACTGTGGTCTCATACGTTCAGGGAAGACATCCCGGAAGAGGTGAGCCTTAAATCAGGCCCTTCGTGGATAAAAACCAGAGCAAAGCAGGGTCAGCGATTAGCTGGGGAAGGTAAAGTAGCCATGCAGATTCCAGGTAAAAGAAAACAGCAAGAGTCAAGGTACAAAGTCAAGGTACAGCCAGTAAATATCTGAGTTTTGTGAGATTAAGGGCTTGTTTAGCGCACTAGGGACAGACCAAGACCAAGCCCAGATCTGGAGGACCCTGATACCATTTCAAGGGTTAAAATCCATTTTGTAGGCAGTAAAGAGATTTGCACGATTATTAGGACCAGCACATGCCATGGGTTAAGAGCCAGCATGAGAGGCCCACCCATGCATGGTGGCATTTGATATGAGCTCTGTCTGCAGAGCAGGCTGCCCAGCGAAGGAAAAATGGTCACAGTGAGGACCATACTACCATAGAAAGTGGCTCAGAATACTTTCTCTACACATGGTAGCTCCAGGAGGGTTGGAAATCTGCAAAATCATCGAGGCCATGTTTTATTGCTTTTAATTGATGTATAAGACCTCAGGAAGATTAGTAATTCATTCAGTATCATACATCCAGAAAGAGTCTCCCAGTCTCCGAATCACATTCCTTCTCAGCAGCATATTTGCATAGATGAAGAGCTTGTGGCAACCAAACTTATATAATTAGTTCCCATCTATACATATTTACTCCACTTAGCCACACTCTTAGAGGCTTCTTCTTCTGAAATTCTAAAATGGGGGAACACCTGCTTCCTTCTACCCCAAAATGTTACTTTGGTTTCAGCTTTGAAATAAGACCCTGGAGCCAAGAGACTTCAGCAAAATTTACATTATATCCACAAGTGCCCTGACAAAATCAGAGGCAGCCACTACCATACTCTGCAAAAGTCCTGTAGGAAGCAGATGTGTGTTAAGGACTGGCCCAGGTTTATATAAGAACAATGAAGCCTGTGAGGTCTCCTTGTGAGAGCCCTGCTCAAGGCAGAGCCCTGAGGGCAACATGCTGCCATCGGAGAGAGACTGAATATACAAACAAATACGACCAGACCACATATAAAAATAAAACTTTGACCCACAACCTGCAGCACCCAGCCCAGGAAACCAATCCTTATCTCCAGTAACCACCTAGGAAGCCAGCCTGATGTAAGTCAGACTTGTAGGAGTCAGACTGCTATCTCTAGTAATAATCCAGGAACCAAACAATAGCCCCTGTAATAATCTGCCCCCCACTGGCCTGGACTTGATTAATAACTGACAGTTTTCCTAATTTTTCTCCAAACTTCCAACTTAGAACCAGCCAAAGAAAGCTAAATATGCTCCCCTCACCAATCGCACAGGATGTCCTACTTCTACTGAACTGCCCACGGCTTCCCCATGT